AGGTATTACAATTTTTAATTATAAACCTGTGTTTTCTATCAAAATTACTTTTTGCGTGAATTTTGGGACACCCTTTATAAGCATGAATGTGAATGGATATGATATCCTTCTCTTGTCCATTTGGGATAATAGATTTTTTAAAATACTTTATTCTTTCATTTCTAGATGACTAGTCAAATTACTTATATTCTTCATTCATGTCTTTCTTTTTTTAAAAAAAATACCTTTTTATTGATTTCAGAGAGGGACATGAAGAGAGATAGAAACATCAATGATGGGAGAGAATCATCTATTGGCTGCCTTCTGCACACCCCTTAATTGGGGGTCAGGCCCACAACCCGGGCATGTGCCCTGACTGGGAATCGAAGCGTGACCTCCCTGGTTCCTAGGTCAATGCTCAACCACTGAGCCATACTGGCTGAGCTTGTCTTTCTTCTTTTGACATCATCTCCATCCCCTCCTCATTCCATCCTTCACAGATGGGAATGGAAATCCTTTCTGACCTTGTTACTACATGCAAATTTTACTGACAGTTTTAGAAATGTAGTTATGGACAAACTTGATCCTCTAAGGGAGAATTAATATTAGAATTATTTCATGGTCCTTTTTAATTTGTTCTGCTCATATGTAGTTATTGTTTGTGTTTTAAAAGTCACTTTTATGATCGAGGAATTCAGAGCCTTTTGTTCTGTGGGTTCTGTCTGTCGGCTGGTCTTCATTTCATGGACCTTCCACTCTGTGTAACCTATTTCTGCTTACCTTAGTCCCAGGGCTTATAAACTTAGGGGAAAGCATTTTAAGTCACCATTATTTCTAACGTCCACTGAAAATCAGAGAAACTTAATTGAAGATGGATTTCCTAAAATTATGTGTGTTTTTTCTTGTTCACTTAATCACAGAGCAAAAGTTAGACTAAGGCCCTTAAAGGAGTTAGCTCCTCTATACCAGGAAAGTTAAAGTTGTTCATATGCCAGAACCGACAACTTAGTCTACCCAGGAGTACCATAAAACAGGGGGAGAGGGAGAGCATCCTTAAAAAAAAGGGCCCAAAAGTGATTTCTGTGAAAGTCCATCTAGATATTTAGGGTGGACTCTTAAAATGTTTCTGACTCAGTCATCTTTGGGGTTACAAGGAATAGTAACTATTCCTTGAGGAGTTTGTCACACAATTCTGTGGTTTGAGGGCTGAACTGCCAAAGGAATCCGTTATCTGTCATCTCTGTCATTCTATTTAATGTTTATAAAACCTAATGTAATTTACATATTTTAAAAACAAGTTTAAATATTACATTTATTAAGCTTTTTAAAAAATGTTTTTAATCTGCTATCACTGTATTCAAATATACATATTCATTTTGTCTGTTTTTAAGTTGTTTTGTCATTGTAATAAGTTTCAGTATGTTTTTTTAATTTCTTGTATTTTTCATTAACATGTCCATTGCTTATTTTTCATGCCAGTGTACTGTGTCACCTCACCCAAGAAGGAGGATAGGTATAGGGAGCCACCTCCTACTCCTCCAGGATACATGGGGATTTCTTTAGCGGACCTAAAGGAAGGACCCCACCTACACCTAAAACCTCCAGATTACAGTGTGGCAGTGCAGAGATCAAAGATGATGCATAACAGCTTGTCTAGACTGCCATCAGCTTCTCTCAGTAGCAACCCCATGGCCTGTGTTCCATCGAAGATTGTAACTCAGCCTCAGAGGCGTAGTTTGCAGCCATCCCATCCTAAACTAGCAGATGTGACTGATGCAGATAGCGAAGCAGACGGTATGTTGACAAACTCCCTTAACGGCTCTTAAATGAATTGCTAAACACATTAAATGGCCTTTATACTGGTGTTTTAGATCATCAGAAATGTTTTCTTAAATGCCTCAGAAATCTATTTTTTTTTAAAAAAGAAATCTCGCCGAAACCAGTTTGGCTCAGTGGATAGGGCATCGGCCTGCGGACTGAAGGGTCCCGGGTTCGATTCCGGTCAAGGGCATGTACCTGGGTTGCGGGCACATCCCCAGTGGGAGATGTGCAGGAGGCGGCTGATCGATGTTTCTCTCTCATCGATGTTTCTAACTATCTCTCGCCCTTCCTCTCTGTGAAAAATCAATAAAATATATTTAAAAAAAAAAAAGAAATCTCTAAATATGATGGTGTGTTTTTTGTTTTTTGGGTTTGTTTTATTGATTTCAGAGAGGAAAGGAGATGGGGAGAGAAATAGAAACATCACTGATGAGAGAGACTCATTGATTGGCTGCCTCCTGCACACTCCGTGCTGGGATCAAACCTACAACCCAGGCATGTGCCCTGACCGGGAATCGAACCTTGAACCTCCTGGTTCATAGGTCGATATTCAACCACTGAGCCACACCGGCTGGGTGATGGCGTGTGTGTTTTTTTGTTTAGTTTTATTGATTTCAGAGAAGAAGGAAGAGGGGGGGAGAGAGAGAGAGAAACATCAGTGATGGGAGAGAATCATTGATGGGCTGCCTTCTGCACACCCCCCCACTGGGGCTCCAACCTGGGACCTTTCAGTCCGCAGGCCGATGCTTTATCCGCTGAGCCAAACCGGCTAGGGCGCTGGTGTGTGTTTTAAATGAAAAAGATCAAACCGTTTGATTGTGTGCCCAGTCCCCTTCTTCCAACTTAAATGGAGGATTCTTATATGTGATTGAAGGCGGCTCAGTCTAATTTTGAGGGAAGTTCTTGACATTATTGTAGTCATGGCTTACATGAATGCATGGAAACTTGAAACTGGAAGTGTCAAAATGCAAAATTATCTGAAATCATGCTATTGGTGTAGCTCCTTTTATGAGCAAAATCCTTCATTGACTTAGCAGCTGTGGTTTGCTTCGTTAAAAATAAATGAACTTTTATCCTCTTAAACAATAGAGTAATAAAGTAACTAAAAAGAAGTTATGAAATTCCAGTTTACTGTCAGCTTTCAGTGTGATCAGAACTCATAAATGTCATTACAAGAAAATCTGGACCTTGATAGGATCATTGAGAGGATTTCTTTGTTGAAATTGACTAATTTTATAACATATCTAGGTTATTCATGAATATGCTAATCTATCACTTAATTGTATTTTTATCATTTTCAGAAAATGAACAGGTGTCAGCAGTCTAGCCTTTGGAGGCCCATTTGACGCCTGAAAAGTCCTGGAGGAAGGAGTGGGCAGAGCCACCTCATGGTTCCACCGGCCAGCAGACAGCACGCTGCCGCTGCCGCAACCAGAGGTTCCATTCCCCGTCCTCTGAGCCGCGATGAGCCTGCGCCTGCCTCCTCATTGATCCCTGCAGATGCGCGTCTCCGCAGCGATGGATGTCGTGCCTGGATACGTCTTCACTTTGCACACCAGACCTGCCTTGGGACCAAGTTACTAGAACAAATCCAGACTCGGAGTCCTCCTCGTGTATAATATTATATCACTATAGGTTTTCCTTTAACAAGTTATTTTTAACACGTTAAGCGCCAAGCCTGTTTTGTCTTGTTTTCCGTTTAGCCCGCGATATCCGATTTCACCGATATGCTGGCAGCACCAGTGACTGACCAGTCCAGACGGAAAAGTATAGTGTCAGTCACCGGTGACTGGCATGGTGCTTAACGTGTTAAAATAGTCGTGGTAGTATTTTCAAGCCATAGCTTGGGCTAATGGACAAATTCAAAATGTCTGCCAATATGGACGATAGTCTTGTGTGTTTGAAAAGTAACTTATTATTTGAAGTTTTTGTGAGTTTTGTATTTGGAAGCTCTCATTCGCTGATGTTTGTTTGAGACCATAAAACTGTCTCTGATCTGACCAAACAGAAGTCGCCTTTATAGGGTGATATGCTTGACCTATACAGAACTTTGAGGATCTAGCTAGCACCAATGCACGTCAGGTCTCAGCCTGAGTGGAATTGGATGCCAGTTGCAGTTGAGGCGTAGGAAGAAAAATACTCATGTGCTGGTCTCCATTTGGAAGACCGAATGAACTGCCACAGGGTTTCTTCCCAGTCCTTTGGGGAAGGGAGAGGCAATCCTAATTTCCAACGAATGAAATGTTTATGTGAAAGTCATGCTGCATCTAACTAAAAGTATAAATACAGTAAATAGAGAATGGGTTCTAGAGCATTCTACTCCATAGAAACCCAAAACTAAAAGTTTCTCAACTCGAATATGGAGTTCTTTTTTAAAGGATGTGTCATCCTGGTGGTGGGACCCTGAGGATGAACTTAGCTCTGGTCAGTGCTTTGCCGCACTCTCCCCATGGCACAGCTTGGGACCCGCTGATCTCCCAGCTGCCTGCAGTAAAGCTCATTAGCTCATGAAGGTATATACAGTGGGGCCTTGACTTATGAGTTTAATTCGTTCGAGACCAAGCTTGTTAAGGAACTCGTTAACTCAAATTACTCTGTCAACTCAATGCAAAAAATCAGCCGAGAGACAGCTGGTATCTCAAAAAACTCGTTAGTCGGGACACTCGTAAGTCAAGGCCCCACTGTAATTGGTAGAAATTTCTGTGAAGGAAACAGGCACTAGAATTATGGAAATGAATTATCTCTGTTCCCATTGTAGCCTAAGACAGAAAGGAAATATATTTTTTAATAGCCCGTTGGGCATGGCACTCTTAGGTATTTAAGTTTTAATGATTGTTTAGTGGACAAGCTAGCCTCTCCACATTTTTACAAATAAAATATAATGTGTTCTCTATCTTACATTTAAATTTTTAAATTTGTTTTTTAGTGTAAAGGCAAATGAGAGCTTAATAAACTTCTGTGGCTACCAAAAAAAAAAAAAAAGAAAAGCCAAAGCCATTGACGTGCACTACCCAGACCCGCTTGGAGCCAAATGGGTTTACTCTGTGTGCTGGTCCACACGCACATGTAGAGTTTAGTGTTTGTGACTTCCTTTCAGTGTGTGCCCGTTGTTCCCAGCTGTGTCGTCCCTGTCTCTGTCCCCTGCAGTTTAAAATCATAAGTCAGTTCCAAGTGTAAATAGCAGTAGTCCATCTTTTCCATCTAAGCCAGTGGTTCTCAACCTTCCTAATGCCGCAACCCTTTAATACAGTTCCTCATGTTGTGGTGATCCCCAACCATAAAATTATTTTCGTTGCTACTTCATAACTGTAATTTTGCTACTGTTATGAATCGTAATGTAAATATCTGATATGCAGGATGTATTTTCATTGTTCGCGACCCACAGGTTGAGAACCGCTGCAAGCAATGTTTCTTCATTTTAGGAAAGACAGCATGTCTGAAAAATTCCCCTGGGCAAAATAATGTTAATCTGAAACATAAGCCTTAGAAATGAACCCCAGGTATGGTAGAATGAGGCTAATTGGCTCCATAGCTTTCTGGGTCCATTGAAATGGAAAGTAGCCCAGACCAAAATCCTGGTTTGAAAGTCACACTGTTGTCATTTGACCTGTAAACAGACATTCTCTGATCACAGATATTTCCTTCACTGATTTGCTTCATTGTTTTCATGTCCAAAGTGAAATATATTTTTGCAATAACCATCTTTTCATCAGGTTTGGGCATTCTCACGTTTTACATTCATTACCCTGGGAAAATGTGCCCTTTGCACATTGTCTGTTTATTTAGCGGGTCTTGCAATCCAGTGGGAGCTTTACACACCTTTGTCCTTAGTGTTGTCAGTAACATCTTGCACAGAGATTTGGAGGCTTGTGGTTTTGTTCTTGCACCTTGTAGATGCCTTTGTTTCATCGAAACTTAAACTGTATTTGGATCAGCTGATCACATTGATCAGGAACTAAAGCCAAATGCTTTGTAGTGTGATATGAATGTATCCCTTAAAAAATCGAGTTTTTATTTTTACATTTTATTTTAGGGTACATTCCCGCCTTCTCGTCATATGACAAGAACAAGAGAAGCCTTAACCTGTATTTGATTCAATTCTAAATCCCCATTTGCTTTTGTTTTTATTTTATAAATTTATAACTTTATAATAAAGAGACTCATGCCTTCATCCCACCACAATTCTGAATTTGCCAGGACTACTAACTAAAGCAGTAAATCCATGGTGCAAACTTTTGCCAAATTAGTTTCAGCATAGGCTCTTCGAGAAGAAAGATTTGCAGAATTAGTAAATCCAATACATACTTCCATAAAAGTTGATTGTAATTAATAGATTTTTGCTCCCTCCAAATGATTACTTTCAGAATGATTTTAGGGAGAAAAAGCCTTAAGCGGTTTTTCATGAGGGTGATAAGTCATGTTGTCACATCTGCATCGCCTCCCGGAGGGCCTCCAGGCTGGACGGCGGCAGTGATCCAGGGGGGTAAACCCAAACGAACCTAATTTTTATGAAGTGTTTTCTTCCCTGCAGAAGAACGGGAGGACGTTTCCTTGTGTATTTAAAACAAGGATTGTTATTCTGATATATTTTAAATTTATAAAAAATTAGATACTCAAGTAGATGTGTCATTTTAGAATTACCTTAAAAGCTAGAACAAATGGAGAAATAAGTCTTCAGAGAAGTGTCACAGGACATTTTCAAATTTAAACTTGGACCCCAGTTCATATTTAGCTTTCATTGTGCTTTTTAAAGGCTTTTTTATTTTTTATACACAGAATGCAGTTGTACTTGATCTTTCAAAAATGAAACATGAACTTCAAGAGACAAAAAGAAAACTGCACAGTTATAATAGTCTAATAGCAATTATACTGCACAATTCAGTGATTGTCAAGTTTCCTGTACCAAGCAATGTTTGTCTCCTATTTTGATACCTCTTAAACTTATGTCTTTTAGAAAGACGGTGCCTCTGTATGCTTTTTGTATTTTTACTGAGTGTAAATATTTGTTATATTTTTGGTTAAGAGAATGTAAAAGTACCATTTATTATTATCATATCTACTAATACATTGGTGAAATCAATAATCTACATTAGCCTTCTCTGTACTTTATTGCAAATGTTACGGCAGCAGATAGAATAATTAGCACTCAGAGGGCCAGTATAGGACCCACACTGGTGTGAAGGCCTTATTTTTTAAGTCTTCAGAGAAATTTGAATGGTCCAACTATATTCATAGTATCTGTAAAGCACGAAGATACCTAGTTTTTAAAACAGTATTGAGTATGTTTGATTACAAACCCAGTAACAATGGCTTAAACCCCGTTGGGCTTGCTTTTTTCTGGGAAAGCCTCAGGCCGACTGATAGAATGACTCCACAGTGTCTCCGGGACCTGACCTTTGCGTCATGGGCATCACCAGTGTTTCCTGAAGTAAGGGCTGAAGGGGAAAGGCGCAAGTGAGCCTCTTAGCAAAACAGGTTTTCCTGCAGCTCCGCTTGCATGTTTCTGCTTACATTTCACTAGTTAGAACCGTGTAGCGTGCCTGTTAGCTGCAAGGAATCCTGGGAAATGGACTTTGGGGAATGAGCAATTGATGACCCCAAATGATTCTTGAGATGCGGCAGCCTCCCGCACTGTGTGGAGCGCATCCGCCTGTCCTCCCTCCACCTGGCCCCATGGCGCCTGCCGCACCCGTGAGCCTCGGACCACAGCCAGGCCGCCCGGCTTTCCTGCCCCTTGCGTGGCACCACCTGCTCCTCCAACGGCCCCTCCTCTGGAAACCCCGGCCTCTGACAGCCCTGCCCATCAATGTGCGGGTCCGCCCTCCCCTCTGCCCCAGGCCTGACGCATCTTGGTCCCCATCACCCAGCATGCGGGCGGCACACAGGAGGCCTCAGGTGTGAGGAATGGGTGGGTGTGAGGGGTCATGAGGAAGTCAGCGAGTGAGGGAATTCGTGAAGGTGGTGGTAGGGTCGCGGAAGGAGAAATGCGCGAGGCCAAAGGGGTAAAGAATTATGACTTTATTACATCTGCTAGCAGACGGGCTGAGACCAAAATGGCATCAGCTGGGTAGGGTAGGGGGAGCGGGGCCTTCTGGTCGGACCAGGTGCAGGTGGGGCCAGGTGTGGGCGGTCAACTGAGCTGGGAGAGGCGTTTACTGGAGACTGAAGGCCGTTAGTCAAGAAACCTATAACGAGAACAACAGGGAAATCACCAGGAGGGCATGAGCCCCAGCGGGCACAATGCAGCGCAAGGATGTGCCCAACGGGTAGGAAGGACTGACGGGACCGGGGGCGGGGCAGCTTGGCACAGACAAGAATCATGGGGGGGGAGAGGGGGAGTGAGGAATGGAACGGACGGATGAATATCTGAGACTGTGCATCCCGACTCAGTTCCTCCAACAAAGCAAAATGGGCGGTGGCCACCTAAACTCCCCGCTCCGCTCCAAGCCTCGCCAAGCCCACCGCTTCCCGCCGGAGGTACTAGTAAGCCCAGAACCCCCACGCGGCCGCGCCCGAAAGGGCCTACCCGCTGGACCCACAGAGCCCGCGTCCTCACCACCCGGATGCCCGCTCCCCCAGGCGCTCCCCCTATTGGCAGGCGGGCGGGACTGGCGTCTTTGAGAGCCTATGTCTCTCCGACTTAGGCCGTGGGGCCCGCCTACTGAGGAGCGCGCCCTGAGTGGCCCAGGCTAGTAGGAGGCGGGTGTCTATTGGCTGGATAACAGTGACTGACGCCATGAGTAGCTTATCACAGCTGGACTCCGGAGGCGGGCTCCTGTGTCAGACCCGCCTCTGGGAAAAACAACGCTGGAGGTAGTTGAGAGCGAGTAACTGCGGGAGAGAAGTCAGGGGGGTTTCTGCCTGCACGAACCTGGGCTGTTTGCTGCATGACCTGGGTCCTAGGGAGGGATGGAGACTTGAGAGTCCTGGCCCCTTGGTCCTGAGGAGGCAGGGCGCCCAAGAGAGGAGGGGATTGAGGACCCGTAGGAGGAGTAACGAGGGGCCTAGACTTCTGGGTCTGAGGGAGGAGGGGAAGGCGAGGCCCTAGACTTAGGATTCTGAGGGAGGAGGAAACTGGGAACCTGAAAGGTTGGGGGCCAGGGGTGAGGACTCCTTGGTCCCAAGAGTCAGTGGCCTGTCCACAGATGACAGATTTGAAGGTCAGTATTTTAATGCGGCTATTGATGGGATTGGAGCCAGGCCTTGTCCCCGGGCAAGGGTTCTGGATTCTGAGCTGGGGCTTGACTGGAGAGGAGGGGAAGAAGCTTGGGAGAAGCTCTGGCCTCCACATGCCCTTTCCTCGCCCCTGAGGGGGACGCCAGGGGCAGGGTGCTATCTGCAAAAGGAACCCGCAGAGTGGCAGGAGGCTGGAAACCCACCTGGAGACAGAGAAAAGCGTAGATACCAATGGAGACATTCAAGTATTGATTTTCTTCTTTAAAAGTGGGATGCCTTTCAGAGAAGCAGGAAAGATTGGATACTGAGTGGGCACCCACAGCACGCCGATTGCTCGCTCCTTTAGGAAGCAGTTTCTTTTATGGATCAGATCTCAGAACCTGGCGCAGTTCTGCTTTCGCGTCCAAACTTCTTGAATGGGGTCCTACGGCTCCCCGTCCGCACCAGTTCTGAAAGCGATGACGTCGGGTGGTGTTACCTGGTTCTCCAACTGAGTAAGGAAGACCCAGAGTTACCACCTTTTCTGTGGGTATTGGTGTCTTGTCCTGGGTTGGGCTGGCACCTCACCCCCCGCCACCCTCCCCAGTGCTCTGATCCGCCCAATGTCCTTTTTTTGCACTAAATGCCAGTTTTCTTACCTCATTCCCAAATAAAAAATTCAGTTCAGAGCTTTCACATATTTAATAGCTTTGTCTTGTGTCCCTGTGTTCTGTACAGATCTCTTAAAACAAAAATTTTCTTTGCCAGGAATTGTTTGGAATTCACAGTATTTTCGAGAAGATAGGACAGGTATTCATAGAGAATCAGCATTCAGAACCGTGGTTCCCCATTTCGGCTCTGCCGGTCTGCAAACTGGACGCAAAGGGGCCACATGCGAACCTAACTAACTCAGGCGGCCTGGCACACTCAAGGGACCTAAAGTAACCACAAAGGATGGTCTGAAATTAGAGCCTTTAATTGAAAAACAGTTTATTGTGGGCAGTCATGTCCCTGTATCTTCTCTGACAAAGATCAGCTTCAGTTTTTACTGAGCCTGTTGTCTTTTTCATCTAAGATAGCCCACCTGTGGACTGTCAGGGCGACTTCCCTTTGCCGGACCCCTCAGGGCACAGACCACAAAAGTCCTCATTGTTATTGTTACCATGTTAATCTTTGCCTGTTAGCTGTCCTGTACCCCCCTATGTAAAAGGCGCATGTGTTGGATGGAGGGCTGTCTGGCTGCGACATCTGCCCCAGGAAACTGATCGGGAGTTGATTCGACTGATCTGACTGGCTAGGCCGGTGTCCCCCTCCTCCCCACCGATCCATGTGCATCCCTCCCGAATCTGCGCTCCGTGGAAGAGGACGTCCTTCCCCCCAGAAGAGAGGACCGGTCTTCCGTCAGCGGTAAGGAGTAGCTGCGCCCCCGAGAGAACCTCCCAGCACCTCAAGAAGCATGTGTCTTTCTTTTTACTTTTTATCCAATCCCAGATATTCCTCCCCCCCCCTTTACTTTCTCCCACCTCCCTAATCCGTCAATAGATTTCATGTAACCCACTTAAGTCTCCACCTTTGGTGGTAATTTATAAAAATAGGTGCAAGCCCGCCCCTCTGCAGAGCATTAGGTTGAGATACTGCTTCCCGGCAATTGTCGACAGTTTGGCTCAAACTCACAAAAATTCTTCACAGATTTGAATGTTTTCTTACGTTAACAAGACTTTTGTATTAAAAATTTACAAGTGATCCATTTCCTTTGGAGTACGAGGGAGGATGTTCAAAGTCACAGAGGCACTACATAAAAATTGAAAGAAAATGTATTAAGTGGCACCAAAATAGACAGATTAAATTAGAATGGCCTAATTTGAAAGCTTCAGCACCATTGCTTTTCTTTTGCTTCATACAGATTCCCATTAGTAAACTGCTTTCAGGCAACAAGGTTCTTAGCAACAGATTGAAAAGATGAGCTAAAGGTGATGGGGCCCTGCCTTGTGGCTAAAAGGTTGGGCGTGGACCCCTGGACTTGAGGTCGCTGGCAGATGATCATGGGCAGAGCACTTTTTTGGGGGGCGCGGCTACAGTGTTTTGGACAGGTTCAAGCCTTGGACTGATGAGAGGGCACAGTCCTCTCGTTGCCACGTGCAACTTCCAGCTTGGAGGGCAGAGCCTTCCCAGCACAATTATAGCCAACAGCTGTAGTTGTAAGCGTGAACCTATGGTCCGAACACGTGGGCCCACGTGCCTGAGTGATAGAGTTCAGGTGCATGTAGTTGAGTAGGGTTGAAACCCAGGAGAAGTTGTAAACATCTTGATCACGCCCTTACTTTGCCTCATGGCATCTACTATAAAATAAAGACACGGCTTGTGGGCGCTGGAGCTGTCTATCAGGGAGGCAGCGTCCCACCGAGGCCCAGCTTTCATTCTCTTGTCTTTTCTAAGCCTTTCATTGCTCCATCTCAGGGTCACTGAACCAGGCTGAGCTGGCATGAGAATGCTGGCTCCCCACACTTTTTCCATCAGAAGAAACAAGAATTTAGACTGAAAAAGGTTGTGGTGATATTACACTGGAGCCAATAGGTGGCGCCATGCTACTTTTATTGATTTCAGAGAGGAAGGGAGAGGGATAGAAACACCAAAGATGAGAGAGAATCATTGATCGGCTGCCTCCTGCCCACCCCGACCAGGGATCAAGCCTGCAACCGGGGCATGTGCCCTTGACTGGAATCAAACCCCTAACCCTTCAGTCTGTAGGCGGACGCTCTATCCACTGAGCCAAACCAGCTAGGGCAGCAAGGTCATCTCTTAGACATTTTTCCAGATAAGTCCGCAGCCCACAGTGAAATATTTTAGGAGACTCCTTCACAGAGGTCAGGAAACCAAAGCACTTCCAGCCGGAAGATACAGAATTATAGATTCTGTTTGGATAATATTTGGACATTAATGAATGGTCAGTATGGATGGAGCTATTTCCTAACACAGTGTCTGTACATCTGGACCTAGGATTTGGGGCAGCGTCGGTCTTTTCCAGGGCTCCTAAGGGCCATGCTCAGGAAATACAAATGGCCCAACACCGGACAGCAATGAAAAGCAGGCAATATCTGTATAAGAACCATTACCTTTAGGATTGGGGTTAGGATTTCAACATAGGAAACTGGGTGGTGGAAACAAAACATCAGCATATGGCAGGGAACAGCTGCGCATCACGACTTGCTATACGTGTCCAAGGTGAAATGATTAGCACAAGTAAGCTAATTAACATTGTCATTACCACACAGACTTGCAAATTGTGTGTGGTGAGAACACGTAGTATCAACTCTCTTAGCAAGTTTCAAGCGCACAATACGACATTATTAACTGGCGGCAGCATGGCGTACAGTACCACTCTAGAACCATTCCTCCCACATAACCAGTCTTTGTACCTTTCCACCAGCCCCTCCCCACTTACAGCCCCCACCCGACCCCTGGAACCAGCGGGTCCCACGACAGTGACATGGCGCAGGGCTCGTCTCGCTGTGACGCTGACTTCACCGAGCAGAACGTCCTCCAGGTTCATCCACGGTGTCGAGCGGCGGCGTTTCCTTCTTTCTTCCGAGGCTGAGTCACAGCCTCTGCGTGTGCGCCGCAGGCTCCTTCCCCAGCCGCCTGTGGACAGGCACGGAGGTTGTTGCCAGTCTCGGCGGTTGTGATAACGCTGCAGTGAACGTGCAGGCGCAGACATTCAGCCAGCTGTCAGCGGGAAGCGGGCGCCGCCGGTTCTCATCCTGCACGGAAATGAACCTGCCCACACTGAGAGCTTCCTCCGTGGGTAAGCCCCAGGGGAGACGAGCCCCAGCTCCTCCCGCCCAGGCTGTGCTATTTTAAACTTGAGTTTGGGTCCATTTACAGCGATAGGTAACTAATATCGTTTATTAACGGTACGGCCTGAAGGAAGTTGTATATATTTCCTGGGCCTCAGTTCTCTCCTCCTCAGAACAGGTTAACAACAGCCCCCTCCCTTCTGTTAGGTGTTGCTGAGGATGAAGTGATTGGCGCCCGGGTCATCCTTGGGCCGATGCCCAGCCGCCTGACAGCCTCGGTCCCTGTGCCTGTGTCATCGTGGCCTCGTGGCGATGCGCTTTTTCTCCTTCCTCACTCTCCCTCCCTCTTTCCCCTCGTCACCTCTGTCGTTTTCTGCCTTAATTCTAACATATCCTCTCCTTTTCTAGAATTTCATTTCTTTGCCCGTATAGTCTTGGCTGCCAAAACCTCCGTTATCTCGTGGTCATTTATCTGACAACCTCAACTATTTGAAATATACCCGAGATGCTCCAAAAGCCAAAATTGATTCCATGTAGAAAATGCACCGAAGTGACACTCTTGACTGGTTGAGGCGACTCTGAGGTTCTTGTTTGCTGAGTTAAACCGCCGGGAAGTAAACATTTAACATGCGGAGTGGGATCTGGGAGGAAGCATCCTCACAGCAGTCACAGTGCGATCGAGACAAGCTGAGCGGGGAGGAACCTGAAGACTCTAAAAGGCAAGAACAACCACAAAGCAGTTCAGGCAGAGACAGGCAGTGCGTCCCGGTCCCCACAGGCATCACCGGGCAGGGGCATGTCTTGTTGGACCAGCACATCCTCTGCACTTTGTTTCCAATGTGTGTATAATGGCAGTGTTGTCACCAAAGGGGCCACAAAGTCCATTCTACTCTAATTAGGAGAGCAGAGGGTATAGTTTATCTTTCCAGCCTTGAAATGCATGTGCATGATAGAGTATTATAAATATATATTTCAAACATATTTATGTTTATTATAAAATAAGAGCTCTCTCGTCCACAACAACAAAACCACAGTTTTAAAATGGCCAAAGGACTTGAATAAACATGTCTCCAAAGAAGACATGGGAATGGCCAATAAGCACAGGAAGAGGCCCCACACCCCTCATGAGGGAAATGCCACTCGAAACCACAGCGAGGTGTCACCTCTCACCCACCAAGATGGCTGCTCTCAGCAAAGTGCTGGCCAGGGTGCAGAGAAATTGGAATCCTGTACACCTGGTGGGACCTGCCGTGGAAAACCATGTGGAGGTTCCTCAGAAAAGCAGCACCTCTCCCCAGGACCCAGCAGTCCTGCTGCGCAACCCCCAAGAGAACCGAGAGCAGAGGCCCAGGCAGGTTTGTGCACAACAGCCAAGAGGTGGGAGCCACTCCGCCGTCCGTCCGCAGATGCCCGGTAAATAAAGTGTCTAACAGAGTGGAGGACTAGTAAGCCTTAACCAGGAAGGAAACTCGGACATGCTGCAACATGGACGAACCTTGAGAACAGACATGCCAAGTGACGTAAGCCAGTAGCAGTAAGACAAACGCTGTGCTGTCGCTTATGTGAGGTCTCTAGAAGAGTCCTCTTCACAGACACAGGAACGAATAGTAATTGCGGGGGGCGGGAAGGGGTGGGAGTTGTTTAATGAATATTAGTGTTTCAGTTGTGCAAGATGAAAAGGTTGTGGAGATGGGTTGCACAACAATGTAAATGTACACTTAAAAATGGCTAAGATGGCCGGGCCGGTGTGCTCACTGGTTGAGTGTTGACCCATGAACCAGGAGGTCACGGTTCGATTCCCTGACAGGGCACTTGCCCGGGTCGTGGGTTCAATCCTAGTGGGAGACATGCAGGAGGCAGCCGATCAGTGATTCTCTCTCAACATGAATGTTTCTATCTCTCCCTCTCCCTTCCTCTCTGAAATCAATAAAAACATTTTAAAAAATAAACAACAGCTACTTAATAAACTGAAGTAGGAAAGCTAAAATAAAAAATTTTAATTAAAAAAAATGGATAAGATGGTAAGTTTTATGTTTGTGTATTTTTACCAGAATTTTTCTGATGCCAAGGGCCACTCCAAGAACGATGAAGAAACTAACTGTGGTGAGCTGCCCCTGGTGAGGGAGAGGGGAGCCGGCAGGCAGCCCTGGGCGGTCCCAGCCCCGAGTCCAGAAGCCCATGTAGGGCCGTGGCACACACCTCCTGACACCCAGCCTCCAGGCCTCCTGTCCCCTCCACGAGGTCCCGGGCGGGCACAAGCGATCACATTGCGAGTCAGCACTGAGGCTGCACGGGCACAGCTTCCCAGGGTCAACTCCAGCTTGTCTAGCCCTTCATTTCATTATAATCCAGGCTTCACCTTGCTAAGGTGATAACAAACTTAGAAACAGTTATTTTTCTATCATCACCAAGTCCTATGTGAGCTCATGGTTTCCTTTCAGAGGCAGAGTGATAGGTGAGATGGGCCACTGAGCTCCTAACCCGGGAGGTGCCTGCAGGCACAGGCCCTGGGCCCGGGCCGGAGGCAGGTGGTCGGGACCCTGCGTGACTCACATGTGGAGCAGAACACGGCTCCCCTCCCCCCCCCCCCCCATGCCAGCCGGCCACGGCCTGACCTCAGGACTGCTGCCAGGCTGTCCCAGGCATTCTGGGTTACTGTTTATTTTCTTTTCAATGATTTTATTTCCCAATTAAAACCACATTTTGCATTGATTCTCATCTATGCTGCTGGTTTAGAGTAGAGCCCCCTCCCAGGTCTCCAGGCTGGGAATGCAGTGTTGGGTCTTGGCTATGAGTGGCTTGAGGCTTCAGAGCCGGGAGCGCCCTCCATCCAGGTGATGGCAAGCCAAGGCGGGCAGAGGGGCTTAGCATCCTGCTCTCCGCTCTGCCTGTTGTCTTCTTGTTTGCAAAGCTTGTCTCCTTTGAGATCAGCTCTGGCAGGCAGCTGACCAACTATGCTCTTCACCCCAGATCTGCATCCTGCCCTACAGGCTTCCCGCCTTTCCTCCCCTTATAACAGCTCCCCCACTCCTTTTGTTTTTAATCCTCACCTGAGGATATTTTTTCCATTGATGTTTTCTTTGTTTTGCCAACTTTTTAAAAAATCTTTATTGTTGAGAGTATTACAGATGTCCCCCCTCACCCCCCCCC